GGGGGGAAAAAAAATAAACATCCACTTAGCAACGCCTTTTGCGGCTCCGGGCTCCGGCAGGCGGCTCGGCCAATGGCAGCCCGGCGCGGAGGGCGGGGGGCCTCGCATCCCCCGGGAAACTTTTGGTTCCCCCGCCCCACGCCCCGCTCGGGCGCGGTGCGGAGCGGTGGGCGGTGCGGGGAGCGGCGGGCGGAGCGCTGCGCCCTCCCCGCCGCGGGTCCCGGGGCTCCTCGGCCGCACGGAGCACAGATGGTTCCTCAGCGCTCGTCCTTCCCCCAGCGCTCATTCCGAGGTGACCYGGGCACGGTGATCTCCAGCACGGGCTAGMGAGCCGCSTCAAATAACTTCATTGACCAAATCRCCGTCTCGACTCCGCTGCTCGGCRGCGGAGGGAGCGGGACRCTTGACTTTGCCCATTTCTTTCACTTCTAAAGGAGTTAGAGGAACCTCAGAGTTGTCTGGTCTGTTTCCTCAACAAATTCTATAAAGTTGGGTTATTTTATAGATAAAAAAGTTTCAGGTTACGTCGTGTGTTTGAGCGTACTTCTAAAAATCAGCGCAGCATTTACCACTAGTGGTTGTTTCAGTTATTGGCTGTGGAGCTGAAGAAGACTTCAGCTGTCAATTTGTTCATCTTCTTGCTGAAATTCTGATACAATTTTATACTTGTGAGGGAAAATTCCTGCAGCTCGATGGCATACATATGTCTTGCAATACTTAATTCTAGCTAGGCATAGCTGGAAGCACGTCTGCTAGCAGTTTACTTAGCAGCACTGCCTGCAGTCTGCTGCTTGGGCGTCTTGGTTTCATAGGTGTGAGAAGTTAAATTCTGTGCTGCTGTGCTTTTTTTTTTTCTTTTTCCCTCTGGATTTTGAATTTTTTATCTGTTACATGTAAATAAATATCTCTAATAAACTGTAAAGTTTAACAGCTGAAAACTTGATAACCATCCTTCAGCTGAATTATGGAATGATACAATGAATGATTATTCCAGTCTTAATTCTGAAATTCTGCACTTCATATAACATAGATACTTAAAAATAACATAAGAAGATACTTCTAAAACCCAGCCTTTTCATGTTTTGAAGGATCATGCATTTATGCATATGAATTCATACACATGCAGTTTTCAAAATCTTAAGAAAGCAGTAGACTGTGTGGTACACAAACTGTAATATCAACTGAAAATCTGTTCCACAGAGCTTCTTTTCCCAGGTATGATATGCATTTCAGAACTATCAGATGCTACTAAAGAAATCCTTCTCTGTTCAACACCTTTCCTGAGACTAGCATTGTCAAAACCCTCTGTTAATGCTGCAAAACGTTCTGTCAAATCTTAGAATGTTTAGACTGCAGCTAGTCAGGGCACAGAACTGTGTAGGTCTGTTTGAAGACTCCTTTCACCCTCATAGAGACCTAAATCTGTGTAATTATCTCATTAAAATAGGCTTGCTAGTGATAAAAAAGTATGTGGATATTTTCATTATGGTGAAGGCRACTGCTGCCTACTTCCAAACTTCAAAACATGAACATATTTACTGTCTGTGACATTTACAGTCCTGTTCCCAAAATTCTGTCATGCATCACCAAATAATAATTAGGCAAGTCTGTTTATCTTTGAGACATATCCAGAGCTCCAGCAAAAGCTAACAGGAGATACTTATACAAAGAAAGAATATCACACAGAAATTGGTTTTAATGAGAGTAAGGACTGCATTTAAGCTCCTCCATTTCTGAACTTTTMTACAGTCTTTGTGCCCATGGGTACACCACACAGTCCATGAATGAAATTTTCTGTCTCTGGAATGAGTGGCAGCTTTGCCACATTTTAGCAGAGTCAAAGTTCCACAAGTAGATCAGTTTGCCTTCCTGCTTGTTTATTTATGAAATGAGACTTTGGTTCATTTTAAAATTACTTCTCTTCGGACACAAGAGCTTTATTTCAGTGAAGATCACACCACCTTGTTTTTATTGGCAGTATTGATAAATATGCAGGGGCAGTAAAGCACGAACAGGTATATTTTACATCAGTAAATTCAAAAAGAGCCCCAGCAACTGAAGATTTTCAGGTAGGTATCTGGGGGCAAATACCCAACTCATCTCTCTTAGCTGCACTAAATATTTATGAAATGCTTTCAGGTATACAGAAAWCACCAGCCATGCTATCTAGTATTACTCTGTCATTATCAGATGCATCACTGTCTAAATCCTTCAGTAACTAGCYTACAAACTTAAATTAATCAATAGAATAGTTTTTCTAGTCTAAGTACTATCAGATTGTTTTCACTAGCAGATTAATGATTCTTCTGGTGAGATGTGCTGACAAACTTGCCCTAAAACAGTTCCAGAAACAACTTTTGTTGTTGGACTCAAGTTATTGATGAAGAAAATGCTTCACTTTTCTACTGAGGATTTTATTCTTAAATGTAAACCCAGATTACCAGCCATGGCATTTTTCTCCAGTATGTTCTTTCAGTGAAAACTGCTTTTTTCTGTGTATGAAAGGACATAACAGCTTGTTTTCTAGCTTCAACTCCCACTGCTTTGATTCTCAATAGCCTGGCAATTTTTAAATTAATATGCAGCTGCATTGTGTGCCCTTTTTTTCCACAAAGACCATTATTTTCCCCTTTGGAAGTGCTCTCTCCTGTGTTTTAGGGCACAGTAACCTCTTTCTCATGGTTTCCAGTCRGTGGCATCAGAGCAGACCACACCAACCTTTGCTGTACTGACTGCTGCTCATAACCAGGTTCATAATGGCTCRACAGCTTCCTGTTGACTAAGGGAGAAAATTTCTGTTTTTTTTCAAATCATTTGCTTGTATTCACATCTTCATGTTGGCCATGAACCAGTGCTAAGGGTACTAAGCTTTGGACATGAAAAATATGGCATAAATTCCCAGTTTTGTAAGATGAAATGTTAACAGCAAAAACAACTCCATGTGATGGGAGTTTTGAAGACAGCAGCTTCATCTTAGTTGGAAAATTCAAGTGTTTTTACCTCAGATGAGTTCTGGCCTTGGTCTCTTAATCTGGAATCTGATAAGTCCCTGCATTTGGGACTGGGGATAGAGGAACATGCCAACATTCAACTTTTAAGAAGCGCTGAGTAGAAAAAAAGATTGAAACCACAGGTTACAAACTGTGGCAAATACATTTTTTTTCCAATGGCATCTCAGTAACTTTCAATTCCCTTATAAACAGCAAATTAAACCCTGAAACGTTAAGATTGCTTTGCTCTATCTGCATATTTTTAATCCTCTACTTTTGAGTAAGAAATGGAAAAAAAAAGAAAAACAAGAAGAGCTGTCTGACAGTCATGCAGCAGTCCAGGATACAGTCAAAGCAGAATGTTTCTAACCTGCATATTAGAAAGGAAGTGTGCCATGAGCGGATATGAACAGGGACCTTACCTTAGTTTTAGCAGTAWTTAAAAAAAAAWYYWAWTTYTTTTTTYKAACATTCATCTCACTTTGTCTTCTTGCTTCCACACTTTCACAATATCTGGTGCTACAGAGTCCTCCTCTGGGTTGCTTTTCCCAACTCCAAATTCACTGTGAATAAAAACCACACTCATGAAGAGAGCTCCCCATATTTTATCCCAACAGATGCTTCCTCAATTCTCAGAAATTCTGAGCAACTGTTACTTTATTTTTTTTTTTCCACTCGATTTGGTGCAGTTGGTACTTAAGACTGCAAATCTGAGCAAAGACCATCCTTCAGGACCTGCATAAACAGCTGAGGCAACTTCTGAGAGCCAGCAGCTGACAACATTGGCAGTTTTGTGCAAACATTATTTTAAAAGATGTATGGCATGGAATAATTTATAAAGGTTTAAGATGTTGTGTTCCTCCAGAATAATTGGTTAGGGACAGAGGAYGAAGTAATTACTACTCTATTTTATTTCAAATTGTGCTTTTTAAATGGTCCATGGCATAGAAGGATTTTTGGTGTCTTGGAGCCCTGCATTCACTGCGAGCTGTTATTTGCTTTTTAGCTGCTAGCAGATCATTTCTTTTGCTGCAATGTCATAAACATGGGGTATGGTGGTTTTTTTATGGCTATTTGAGGAGGAGGAACAGCAGAGAAATCACCAGCAGGTCCTGGAGCTCATCCTACCCTTTGGGAAGAATGGATAGAGTTGGTCCTCCCTTGGTGTGTCCAGTGGATGAAATATTGGAAGAGGTAAGAAAGGGAGTCCAAAGAGAGTTTCCTTCTCTGATAGTTTTGGGTTTTGGGTTGTTTTTTTTTTTTCCCATCAGATGAAGTATTTTTGGGTCCAATAAACCTTTTCCATCTGCCATTTCTCAACTGAAGGGTTCCTTCGATCCTCTGTGTGGCTGCATCCACAGAGCCTCTCATTTTTATCGTTTTCCACCTGATTTTTGAAGCAGAAGAAAAGCATGGTCACAGAGATGGAACGTGGTTGAGTACATTTGGTGCCTTAAAAGGACATATTTTATTGAACCATAGCATGTTAACAATCTCTGTTGCCTTTTTTTCCCTTCCTATTACCTTCCCTTCATTCTCTTAGTTGCATTTATTTAGGAATGAGGCTGTGACAGGCATTGTTGAGATTTCTTCAGCTGTGGACAAGAAATCATACTGAAATAATCTCATGATTTACTAACTAGGTGGGCTTGAAGAACTCACAGAATAACAGAAAAAATATKTTTTCTTCTCTCAGCGTACTTTTAAAATTTTTCCCCCAAGTAAACTATCTCAAAATAATCTCTGGTAATACAAGCCARCCATAAGCTCTGGTGAAATAAGGTATTTTCTGCTACTGGAATTGTTCAAAGCAGCCAGGTTTTGCTGATAAATGTGGGC